AACACCTAGTGTCTTAAAAGAGAAAGAATTGAAAAATTGAACAGGTAAATGTAACAAGGAAAGAGTAAAACCAAACTGAAAATGACAGTTTACAATTTATACAAGTGTACAGGCGGTAGCAAAGCACAAGACTGGATGTATAGGACTATGTGTATATATACTATGCTGATTACTATATTCCGACAAAGTATATAATTATGGATTGAACTATACAAAAAGTGACGTATATTATTTTACAATATTTTATTCTACCCTTTTCTCTTTATTTCCTACTTTATTACTGTTCAATAAAACACTCAATATAACTAGAAAGGCCAATATTTGCTTTGGAGCAAATACAGCGATGGGTTCACCACATTTTACGACATGGCAGGGAAAGAATGAGAAACACAAGGGAAAACAATGATTTACATTGATATAACTATAATATGAAGTAACATACAACTAAAACAACAGTTGGATAGCTATTCCCTACTTTATTGGTTAGGATTTTTAATTGCATAATGCAAACTGTTGATTTTCAAAAAAAAAACGTTCATGCCCCGCATTCCAATGCTGGAGCAGAAAAGCTTGAAATACCTACCAAAACACTTGAATAAAGACATACTGTCAGTATGGAAATACTCTGTGCAGGTGTTAATCAAGTTAAATCCCAACAGCCAATCAGCAAGAAATGCTCTGTGCAGGTGAAAATGCTCTGTGCAGGTGTTAATCAAGTTAAATCCCAACAGCCAATCAGCAAGAAGTATAGAGGAAAGATGCATGCCTATTGGTTGATGCCCTGCATTCCATTGTGATGACTCATGCCCAGACGTGGTAAACACGGCACACTAACACAGTAATACATTTGCTATAACACAGCCAAAAAACTCAAATAAAACCATTCTAAAAGCCTGTATCACAAAAATTTAAAAAACTCCTAGGGGTATTTGCCCACTGTACCTCCATACCAAATTTCAGGACCTTAGGCCCTAAAATGAAAAAGCTGAATCCGTTTAAACTAGAAAGGCCAACATTTGCTTCGGAGCAAATGTAGGAATTTCACTCCATACCCTTCCCCAAACAAAAATGAGAGATTCTAAATAAATCATACTGCAATTATACAAGGACAAGCTGTTTGAATCTCGACAGGTATTTACAAAACTGGCACTTGGCAATTATCTCCCCCCCTTTTTTTACAAAGATACAACGACACGCACTTTAAATCTCGACAGCTTTACTTTACACTTCTGACGAGATTGTAACTACTACTAACGGAAGCAAAATTTTCACGGCCTGAGAAAAATGGACATGTTCACGGAAGTATATATTCACGGTGGTGACAGTTGCAGGAAAAGAAAGTCCAGGAATTATTTCCTAACTGTAATGATAAGTTCACAATACAGAGGTGACAGTGAAAACCGTGAACATTGACCCCCGCTTGCGTTGCGGTACAGTGAAAAAAAATCGGGAATTACAGCAATCAATTTACTGAGTATGTTTGCTTAGTTTCCAGATGTTTTGTACTTGTAGTTTTTAAATGAACGAAAACCGATGCGCGCACAGATGTTACTTTTGTGACAACATCAAAGTGATTTTGGTTTGTATGTTGAAAAAATACAAACGACTAACATTCGAAGTTATTGAAATTCTTGAGTAAGAACAATCAGTTTTGGAATGTTAAAAGCAAAGCAATGGATATTAAAACGAAAATGTTAAAATTAAATGTTGAAATTGTTAAAATGTAAAATGGTTAAAATGGTTAAAATTGTTGAAATTGTTAAAAATGTTAAAATTGTTAAAAATTGTAAAAAGGATAATTAAAAATATCCAGTGTACCGGGGTTCGAACTCGTAATGTCTGGACTTGCAGCCCTGCGCGTTACCGACCGAGCTATCTGGACACGTTTCCATTAGTCTCTGCATTGTATGTCATATAAAGTGAACAACATGGCGGTAACGATCAGTACTAGTAAGGGACTTTCTAGGAGATACACTCTACAATTTTGGTGATTCTTCAGAAATCGATAACAGAATATATAATACTAGTCGGTGAAGATTGTGGAAAATTGTTGATACCGTGGCGCGCGCGCGTGCGCCGACGATACACATTACGTACCGTTGTTTGCAGTACTCGCGGGGCGCAGGTCATTGACCTCCCGCTTGCGTTGTTCCAACAGAGAAGAGCAAAATATCTGCCAGTTTTTGCGTCAGATTTTCAGTGTTTGTTAAAATCATATACAGGCATCCATGCAGCTATAATTCTTCCAACTTGGCAACTAGTTCGTAGTTAGGTGAAATTCTTCCAACTAGTTCGTAGTTAGGTGAAATGTTTATAGGAATCACACGAATCGGTATCCAGTATCAGAGTATCATGGCCCACGGCCGAGACCGCGTGGACCAGCTGCGCTGGTACGTGAAAATGGTAGTAAATAAATTAATTAGCCAACAGCCAATCAACAGCCACATCTGCAAACATGACCACACCGCTTGTATGCCCATATTTGGGCCTTCCCCCGAATTCCTTTCTTATTACGTCACGCGCGTACGCCCCCACAGTACTTTCCTATGGGGACCACTAAAAAGCAAATAAAACGATTGTAAAAGCTTGTATAAAAAAAAATTAAAAAACGCCTAAAGGTATTTACCCACTCTACCTCTATACGAAATTACAGGTAATTTCGCCCAAAAATGAAGGAGTTGAATCAATTTAAAGAAGTGGCAGGAGGAGGAGGAGGAGGAGGAGAAGGAGAAGAAACATCAGAAAAAGCAATATGGGTTCACCACCACTTCGTTGTGTGGTGAACCCATAAAAATGCAGGAGACCATGAAAATACAGAGAAAACAATAGAGAGACGCGCACTGTACCTGTAGACGTGTCAGTTCCATGAGCCACGTCTCCTGAGATATTCTCCAGTTTCACCGCCTCAGCTTCTTCGTACACGTTCGACATTCCCTGCTTTTCTTTATTTTCTTCCGAGTCATGTTTGCCACGGCCGCTAGCGTTACCTCGGCGGGCGGGGGGATCTTGGTAGGGCGCCTGTGGCTTGACATTACATTCCCTGCCGGACCCCGTTTGCGGAGTCCTGACAGGGTCTACTTGCTCGTACATCTTTACATTACAACCAACGTGCAAGCTAGTGTTACCTCGGCGGGCGGGGGGATCTGGGTAGGGAGCCCGCGGCCTGTTATTTTGTTCCCCGTCGGACTCCGTTTGCGGAGTCCTGACAGGCTCTGCTTGCTCGTACATCTTTACTGTATAAATGTCTGACTGTTGCACAGGCTAAAACAGCAAAGCTCTATAAATATTCAAAGGTACAACATCATATCCCAGTCTAGCGACATTATTATTAATATGTACATATTTTGCAGATCCAGCCACGTCTGTTCTTTCCTTGGTATTTTGTTCTTCTGGGGATAGCAGACTAATTTGTGCAGTTGAGACAAAGTCAGCCATGAACCTCATAGACTGCGGGGGCGTCTCCACACAATGTGTTTTTGTTGTTGTTTATTCACAAGAAAACAGCGTGTTAGCTTCCCGTACAGGAGTCGGCTACGGCTGTTCAATTCTTAACTGTAAGGTTAAAGTATCATAAAGAAGGTGTTTACGTCGCGAGACCTCTAACACATTTGGGTGTATGGAATCATGGGTTGGTTTATTGTCTGCATGAAATTGTAAGAGAGGCAACACTTTTGAAATTTTCAGCCTATTTTGTGTTAAAGTCTATGTCTACAGACAACATGTTGGCGTGGTTTCCAAGTGAAAGTAACAAGCCCATCGGTAATAAAGTGGCATAAAAACGCTTCGGCGTCGGTTTTTTTTCAATCTTTATCTAACTTGAAGTTACACTATCGGCCTCGGCCGGTTCTCAAGTGTCCAAGGGGGAAATTAACATCGTATTCAGTTATTTTCAAAACTTACAACTTTACAGTCCAGTCCTGATCTATTTCGTGGTGGATTATTGCAACATGTTTTAAATGCTGCCACTGAGGGTGCCATCTGGTGTCTATGTATAGATCTAATGCCCTTCCACCGTAGTCGTAACAGTATTTCGCCCTTTGGAGTTCTGTGCGGGACTTGAAGTAGCAGCCTTCGGAAGTCATACTCCGGAACCGTGACCGTGCTTTCATATGTAATGTATGGTAGAAATTTGGTGTTGTTTAGGGTTTAAAGTGCCGAAGTTGTCACAAAGGAACAGACTATCTCGTCACGCTCAGTGATCTTCTTAATTTACGTATTTTGCATAGTATTATCCCCTTCATTTCAGATGATTGTCAATATATACACATAAATACTTAATACATAAATACATATTACAGGGAGTCGTAACTTGTCCATTGATAACAAACCTTGGGTTGTTTTTAGACGTGTGTCCGTGGACAGGAGGATGCATTTGCATTTCCCTTTATTCATAGATAGAGAGTTTACCGCAAAACAATGAGGCAATCCTTTCAGATCATTCTGAAGGGCCGTCTCAATGGTCCCAACATCCTTTTATTTTGAATTGAATCACCTTGCCATCAGCATACATCAAAATTCCACAGTTTTGCATACATTCGGTCATGTAATTTACATAAGTGGTAAACAGTAGTGGTCCTAATATTGAGCCTTGCGGTACCCCGTACTTCACTGTGTTAAGTAATATTTCATTATAAATTATTCTTACGCGAAACATTTACATATGATGATAAAATCCTTGGTTAAACTGACAATTTTACCATTAAAATTCGAAGAAAAAAAAAGAAGATCCATAAAGTATATGATGTTCTATTTTGTCAGAAAAAAAGATTTGATGCCAAGAAGGCGTCCTACCACCCTCCCCGAACCTTTGCTATTGTTGCTAAATTGTGGTGATTTAAACGCAAATAGAAAGCCTTTACTTTTGTTGCTCTGGTGCTTTGTAGGATCACTAAGTTCCCTTAACTACAGACACAAGACTATTTGAAATCCTGTGAACTTTACGAGAAAGAATTCTACATTGTTCGTCTTTCTTATTCCAGTTTTGGTAGAAAGAGAACGCCTCAGGCCTCGGAGTTATCAAGCTTTTTCCTCCCACAAGCCAGGCAACCCCGTGTCTTCACCAGAACAACGGCCACGATCAGAAGGATCAGGAGCACGGCAACTCCAACAGACGCCCCGGCCACTGCACTTCGAGGGACTCCAACTTTCACTGTGGAACAACAGGATCGATTTTAATGTGCAGATTTTATCTTCATTTGTAACTCCCAGGAGCCTTAAGAAATGTGACTATGTATATCTTCAAGAGCACTGAGTCTCTTCCACGAAGTGAATAAAAGTTTGCATCTCTTACTTTTCGATATCTTCAAACTACGCTCTCTAAGAAAAGTAAGAAATAAAAAGGGAATATTATCGAATAACACCGCGGTACCGAAAAGTTTTCTTTGTTAATGGATATGCGTACTAGATAGTCTTTTCTATTTCTTTTTGAATGCCCTTACCTTCACATACAGCCGTGCTTCCCGTATTGCAAACACATTCTTCACCGTCGTATTGCCACTCTGCCCCAGGCTAAAAGGGTAATAAATGTGAAAGGGTAATAAATTTAGCTGACGCAACCCAAAATACTATGTCTAGCACCAAATATTATACTATTCTCCAGCATAATGTTTACAGGCTAAAGAATTACCTGCGTAAATTGTTTGAAGAATCCTAGCTTGAGCCCATTTTATCCGAATGCAAAGTTTATCCATATTTCCAGAAAACCATATAATCAACAAAATGGTGCTGACTTACCTGCAAAATACAGCCAATTCAACTTATGTGAATATTCACAACTACTAATTATACATGTTTTTCATTGATTATGTAAATAAGATACTCATTTGACCTAATTTATATCAATTAAACATATTCTCTACATGGAGACAGTTGTCATAAAGAAATCTATTGTAGGATATAGATGCATATATCGTAAATGCGGTCAGTACAAACTTTCTGGAAGTGCTTATATCGAATTGCAAAAATTATTCTCATGCAAAACCATCCACAGCTTTGCCAAGTAATCCTGTATACACACAGGCATACAGTACCAGGCACTATTTTTAGGCTTGACTTGTGTTGACATTTTAACCCAATGGTCACGTGACCAGGTAAACCATTCTCGAACTTGACCATCGTTTCCACAACCGATACTCACCTACCAAATATCATTGAGATCCATTCTAATTCATTATGCCATAAATGAAAACGTAACGTTGTAGAAGGTAATAAATCACTCTTACAATATAATAGTATCCATTTTTGCTGGCGCAACCGCAGTCCTCTATAGGCACGCAGTCCAGCCCACTAAGTACGTAGCCTGGGTTGCACTCGCAGCCTTCTACACAGGGAAGGGTACAGTTGTCTGAGGCGCTGGGGTTCACGCAGGTCGAAGGGCAGGCGCTTGTACATGATGAGTACGTGCTGTTTGCTGGGCAATCCATAGCTGTTGAATAAGTTTATTCCAAACTAAGACTACTAAAAAATAGAGAAGTGCATCTATAGCAGGAAGTGCATTATCATCATCGTTATAACAAACCATTTATGTACAATCCACCTCACAAATTGCGAAAAGAGGTTGCTCTTTTTTTTTCAGATGAATTTGTAAGAACCCCTGAAACACATAACAGTAAAAAGTTGGAGCTTACGACAGAGATCTGACGTTCGCCAAGTGAAGGGAGACACGCCGGCGCCCCTACAAGAGTCATAGTACGCCTCCAGGTTCGCACAGAGATACTCCTCCTGGCCGCTCGTTGCACACGTGTCAAAAACGCAGGTTCGCAAGTAAAGCTGAGGATCTACAACGCCATGGCAAGTAGTAAACGGGCCGGGCGAGTCGGTAAGCACGTCACACGGGTCTGAATAGGTCTGGTTACACGGTCCTTGGGTCGGGGGTGGGCCGGTCGGAGGATCTCCATGACAGCTGAAGTAGACAGAAAATATTAGGGCATTTATGGTATCACTCTGAAGTGGACAGTTATAGGTTTTTAAAATTAAATTGTCTTTAGTAAAGTTTGTACTCTTTCTCATATTAATCATTACAATTCAATGTCAATGCAGCATTGTGTCTAAAGTGTGGTAATGTGGAATAACCAAAACGTTCTTGTGTCTGATTTCGTATTGAAATTTCTGTGTTTGTAATGATAATCAGATTGATAATTCTGGGGAAAAGTATTTTTTTCCTCAAAATATCTCAATTAACAAGCTTGAATCCACGTAACATACGCATTGCTGTCAGTCTCCCAGCTATTCCCGAAGTCGTTCCAGTTCGAGGCGATGTTTCCATTCGGCAATAGAAAGTCATCGTTCTCCATACCGTTGTAGTTACCGCCCAGACCACACATCCTATTTCGATATTTATCCGGAATCTCCACCTATAGCAGTGTTATAGACCAATTCTTATTTCTCCCCTGAAGTCCTACATAGTATATGTGACGTTGGATCTTGTTTTGTTGAATGTTAAGATTACATTTATTTTCATCGGTTACTGTTCAACAGAAGGAGAAAATCGCCATATATACAAGATAGGCAATCGCTATGGCATATCGAAATAGAGACACTGTACAGTGCTGTACTGTGCACCATGCCCAAGAGAAATGTCTTGTTAATATTGTGAGGAATGCACTTACCTTAACTTCGTGTGACCCATCGTAGAGGATGACCACGTACAATTCTGCCAACTCTACTCGAACAAACCTGCCGCTCAGTGTAACTTTGATCTTGCCCAGTGCAAGGCTGAAAGGAAGCGTGGTGGCGATGGTATGCATGGTTGACGGTTCTTTTACCTTGTTTAAGGAAAACATAGTAGTTTGTTTTAAAACCCATAGTTATTAAAACCCAGTATTATTATTAACTGTGAAACTGATTTTAAAATTTTGAGACACCCTATGTTGCAAAAATAGCCTCATCAGGGATTAAGGATGCATATGCTAAGCAGTTTCAAGTGATTAAATATAGCCGCAAACAAACACACTGTCAAAATGAAGAAATAACTTTTACTTGATTATGCAAATGATATCGCCATTCGCCTGAGTTGCATCAGTTAGTAATATCTCTAATACCTCAACCCATTGCCAGTCTTATCTACAAAAAGGCTAAATGTACGTTAAATGCACGTTAAATGTACATTAAATGCACGTTAAATGTACGTTAAATGCACGTTAAATGTACGTTAAATGTAAGTTATGTATAATTATGTTGACCTTCACTTGGCTTTCTAAATGCCACAAGTATGAAACTCCAGGCAGTTATCACTACGGTATAGTAATATTTTCGCATAAATAGTAAAAATCAGGTCTTCAGATCCATCCACAGCTTCTTGAGTTATGCTGTTGATTTACAAAGTGCCTAACAATTTTCATGACACAACCGAAAACATAACGCCAAAGGTAACATTACCTTCGCACCCAGATGTAATAAATCACGTTTCCTGTCGGCTCGCAAATTGAATGGATGTTCCCCCATCCGTAACTCCTCTCCTATTTGTCCTCACTTCATTCGTCGTTGACACTTCTCGTGAGCGGTGCACGACTACCCTACCCATGTATCTGTCCAGTTTGTGAATAGACAGGAAACTTAGTTCTCTTCGGAGTTTACGAAGAAGGGAAACCCACTTACCGTCACAACTTTGCCTTGAAGAATCCCTATCTCGTACCCGTATGCCATCACGTACACTTCACGCACAACTGACACGGTTGGGTTCACTGGAACTTGTTGTACTTCTACATTAAAATCACTGGTGTTTCCGCAGTCCTTGGCGAACGTGTATCTGCACGGACCTTGGAAATGATGTTCCCTTCCGTCGAATGTTGTATAGTGAGGATCTCCCCATGCAGAGCAGATGGCTTTGTTAATCTTGGGTGGCTCTAACCAATGAGGTAATAGAAACTGTTAGTGCTGCAGCCTTATATATCATCGTTCATGATACTGAGATGGCACCAGAAGATTTACCAAAGGGACAAGTGTATCACTTTGCAGATGGTTTATAGATTTTAGACAGCAATGAAAGAACCGAA